CAATTGGGGTCGCGAGGGGTGCTGGTGCCTATCTCCAGCAGTCAATGGGCGGGAGGGGGGGGTACACCCTGGACAGGTCGCCAGTCCATTGCAGGGCAACACAGAGACACACAGGACAAACAACCATTCATGCACACACTCACACCTAAGGACAATTTAGAGAAGTCAAATAACCTAGCAGTCATGTTTTTGGACTGTGGGAGGAGGCCGGAGTACCCGGAGAGAACCCACACATGCTGAGGGAGAACATGCAAACTCCATGCAGAAAGACCCCGGGCCGGGGATCGAACCCAGAACCTTCTTGCTGCAAGGCAGCAGTGCTACAATGCAATATCCTCATCAACACAAGCACACCATTACACCTGCTTTGCGCAAACGGAGGGTTAGTGCTCAGGGTTAGTGTTTAGGGACTGGTTTTTGATTTAGCCTCAGGCCCAGTGACGTTCAGTGAGCTTCCGCATCACTCCCTTGAAAAAACACTTATTGGCTGTGTCCGAACGTCCACCCTACCCCTCAATCACTATATAGTGGAGTTTATAGTGAAATCAGTTATATCGTTCGGACAGATGATCACTATGGCCAATGCCAACCGGCCCCTAAGCACTAACCCTTAACACTAACCCTCTGTCCACCCGTTCCCCTGGAGGGTCCGCCACGTTAAGGTTCCATCCCAAACCACATATTGGGTAGGGTGAGTGGACCATTCAACCCTTAAATAGCAAGTCTGCGTGAGTGCAGGCTCGCTGGAATTTGGCAGAGGATGTAACAATGGCTTGATGGCGGAGGAAACTTGTGCATTTAAATGTAAGTTTCACAGGTTTGCTGAATCTTCATCACACTGACAAAAAAAGTATAAGAAAAAGATGTAATTAATTCCATAATGGAAGGTGCTCTTTGACATAGATTTATTTGACTGTATATATTTTTTTTAAGAAAGGGGCAAATGGTTGATGATTTGAAGTCACAGTACGCCACAGAGCTACAGACGCCTTAGCAATGACTGCTTTCTTTTTTTGTTGGAGGGAAGAGGCCGTCCTCCTTCTACACGCTACTTTAAGGTGCATTTGGGAATGATCGGTCCTCTACTATTTTAACCACTAGACATGCAAACACATAAAATGGTGCAACCATGATATAGTGCTCTATATGGCAGATGTTCAGGCACAGCAGTTGACTGCTTTGTATTTGAAAGTTTTGGTCTTTGTATGTCCACCAGGTGTCAGATTGGTTTTTGTAAAAGCATGACTTTCTAAAATTGTTAAAAGTTGGCAAAAAGTAAGCCACAGAAAGCTGGGCTCTTAAAACAACTGGTGGGTTTTTATAATCAAATTGGTTTGGGTTAAATTTAAAACTAAAATATATGTGACTAAAAATATTGAATAAAATTTTTTGAAGGGTAGATTAAACTGGTTTAAAATTGTATTTCTTTGGTCTAATTTTTATTTTATTTTTTACACCGACTAACAAACAGTTGTTAAAATGTTTTATTATTTGTCTGCTGGCTCCTTTTGAGGATAACATTTGATTCAGTTAAGTTTAAAGAGTTAAAATATTGGTAAAAACATCTGATCAACAGTATAGTTTTACCAATGCTTAAAAAATTTTACATTTAAAGTTACAATGTATTTTGCGGGTCATTTATTTTAAAAAATGGCATCAAGTATATCATTGTGTTTAAAATAAATGAGGTAATTGTATCATTTTTGTTTTCTTTGTTTTTACCTACCTTACTTTGATGTGAGGGCTACTGTAATGCCTGTGGTCGTTGGAGCATTCAGGTCAGTGAACTGCATGCTGGAGATATCGAACAATTACCTGGACAAAACTGATTTTGTAGTTCAGAAGAGCGTAGTCCTAGGATCAGCCTGGATAAACATGTTTACATCTGTTTGGGTCCTTGTATTAAAATATTTTATAACCATTTAGCAAAGCCTGACTGGGAAGCCATCATATTTCAGTTAAGCATCATTGGGCTCTTGAAATAAGGTTAACATAAGGACACAGTCGGTGAGTGATTTAAACTGGTGTTGCTTTAAAGACAAAGAAGACTTTGCCTATTCAAGCCTATTTATCCATCCTTTCAGGTTGAGGGAAAAGATTCTGGAAAACTTGATGCAAACTTGTCAAAAGCTTTTCTAAGCCAGTCTGCACTGGTAAGAGGATTTCACAGTGCTGTATTCTTACACATCTTTATTTTCCATGCACTCCAAATAATATAAAAGCATCAGTAGAAAATGCTTTTTAGATTCTTTCATATGCAAAGACCTCCTGATGTTAACAGCAAAAATTTACCTATTTTTTTAACATATTTAACACGAACAAAAGATCAGACTGCATTTAACTTCAGAGGGCTTTCAGAGAACAAATGATAAGAAATGTGCTTACTCAAGGATGGATCTCTTTTCAAAATGACCAAGTGTTGGCCTAGTGGTTAGAGCACTTCGCTTTAGCTCTGAGAAGGTTGCAAGTACCCGGTTTGTTCCTCGCTGCCTCCTCTCTGGGTCCCTGACCAAGAACCCTAGGTAGTAGTGAGTTTGAAACCCCACATAATCCATAACCCCACACTGCTCCCCAGGCGCAGCACCATGGCAGCCCACTGCTCCCCAAGGGGATCGGTTAAATGCAGAGAGAAATTTCTCCAGTGTGAGATCAATGAAGTTTAGTTATTAGAAGTTAAAAAAGATCAAAATGTAAGGTTCAAGTTGCCTTTATTTGTAACTTCATTTAACCAAACATACAGCTGCAACAAAAAAAAAGCCAACAGTTCATTAACAGACCGACCCAAAATCAAATGATATAGACATTTATTGTCCATATGAAGTGATCATACCCCTTCAGCTCTTTAAAAGTTTGTGTTCAAATTTGAAGTATATTTAGATATTATGTATTCCAGGACCAGAAGTAGCTTTGTAAGAGTGACTGGTCATTTTCTACCCATTCAGGTATTAATAGAGAGACTAGCAGACTACAACTCCGTTGTTAAACGAAAGATTGAATGCGTCCTGTCTTCATATCATCAAAGGGTAATGTAGAAGAGAACTGGAAATGTGGGAGAAGCTTCTCTGAACCAACAATTTTACTTTTGGCCAACATTGAAAATGTTATGAAAAGCAGAAAACACTTAACATTCAAAAACACATAATTCCCATGGTGATGTATAGTGGTGGCAGCATTGTGCTGAGGGGATTTTGCCCTTTAGCAGGCAAACAGTTAATGGGAAGATGAATGAAGCCAGGAACAGTGCAACATGTGGAGGCCAGAATATTAGAGCCATATAGGCCTTAATTCACCTTCCAGGAAATTAGAAAATATGATACATCACTTTATGTTCTCCTATCCTTTTATATCATGTTGTAATGTAACTAAATGAGGAGTCATTTTTCAAGTATCAGCATTTTTTTGCAAGGAAGAGTAGTTCAAAACCCAGCTAGTGTTACTGAACCTCAAAAGCTACAGTAGATTAGGATGCTGTGACAGATGGGACCACGTTAACACAATCTTCCACCATCTCAAACATGAAGTAGTATGGGCCGCTACGTCGGGCCACGTCTCCGGCCGTCTCCCCGCTGCTGCTGCGGAGCCCAGGATTCAGGTTTCTCTTGGAGAGGAGGAACTCTAAGATGTGTGCAGTGTTTGGTTTAAGGGAGTTGGAGTGGGAGGCAGCCAGGTGGAGTGGTGTGAGCCCACCGTTGGTCTGGGCATTAAGCTGGGCGCCATGTTGCAGCAGACAGCTCGCCACGGCAACGTGGCTCCATCGGCAGGCGCTGTGCAGGGGCGTCCACCCATCGACTGTGCGGTGATTCACCGTGGAGCCGGCGGCCAGTAGAGTTCTCACAACCTCTAGGTGGCCGCTGTACGCCGCGCGGTGCAGTGGAGTGTATCCGTCCTCATCACAGTAATGCACCAGCTGAGGATCAGCCACTAACAAACGGAGGAGTGTCGGGAGCTAGAGAGAACAGAGAACAGGACAACACCTTTACAAGCCTGCATACTCGAGGGATTTTGTTTTTAAATTAATGATTATTGTTGTCATTTGTGTTTACTGTTAAAAATACCTTTCATATGAGCCCAAAGGGTTAGAGGAGTGATTATTCCTCAAAAATAATGTATAATAATAATAATAATAATGTATAATGCCTGACAGATCAGGGGCCCAGCAACACACCACTCCCTCCTAAGCCACCAACACTAAAATAATTTGTTCACTTTTGTCTATCACTGCGAGTATGGAGGGATATTTCATTAAATATGCTCGTTCATAAAATAAGGCCGTTGTTCTGTCAGACCAGCATACCCATAGTCAATAACCATGCGCAAGATGTCCGATTTGCGTTTATCCCTTTAGTTTTGAACGAATTATAAACTTTAAACTACCTCAACACGCATGTGTCACTTTAGACATGTACAAAAAAACAACAATTTAAGGTGAGATCGCCAAACACTTAAAAAAACACCAAAAAGTAAGTAATTAAATTGTTTTTTTGTACATGACTAAAGGGATACATGCCCGTTGAGGTAGTTTAAAGTTTATTTTTCATACTAAACTAAAGCGATAAATGGGTATTGACTATGGGTATGTTGGTCTGACTGGGTATGCTCATCCGACAGAACACGGTTTCTTTACACTCCAGATTGTTTATACTCTAGATTTTCAAAAGATGAAGGACCTGGTATAAATTTTAATATCATATTGAAGATTATAATCTTTAAGTTTCTCTCTTTTTTTTCAAACCTACATTTACTATGTAAAAGACTTTATCAACAAGCAGAGATGCCACTAAGGATGTTGTCAAGATGATTTATTCAATGCCAAATGGGATCAAGGAAAAAGAAAGATATAATTGAAAATAAACTAGAACAGCAGGGAGTTAGAAAGGAGAAGAAAACATTTCCTACGAGCACAAGACGTGACATGTTAGCTAATATACACAAACCATTTTCAGGACCATTTTGTTTTGCTGCTTCTTTCAGCAGCGTATCCTTTATTGCTTTGAAAAAAGATCACAACTTCGTTTTCAATCAACTGAAAATGTGCTTTTAAAAAAATCTACAACTTCAGTCACGAATCCTTTTGAATGTGAAGAATTGACCAAAAGTCAATTCATTTGCACCAGAAAGACTTAATTTAATAGTGCTTATTGAAGTCATATCGTTCTGGTCATACATTGCCTGCACTCTAATCAGCCTAATCAGCAGGGTGTCACCCTAGTTCACTGAATAGGCTGGAAGAAAGTTATAAAAATAAAATCAAAGATGTAAAGATCTTTATTTGTTTTTACATTTTCATTTCTCATTCATCCATTTGAAAGATATGTGGTCATTATTTGATCCCAGTCATGCCTAAAAACATTTGAAGTGGTCAGATTTGCTTTTATCTGCTGTTGAAACGTTTTCGTTATATAATCTTACAAATCTTCAAAATATATTAGCTTTTAGTTTTAAAAAGCAAAGACCTTTCTCTCAGAAGTTTAATTCAATTAAATTCATTTGAATAAAGTTATCTTCTTGCCACAGTGGGGAAAAAAAAAATCTGAATCTTTGAATGATCACGAACTAGTTGTCTGTCCAATTATCTTGGATCAATTAAAGACCCACTTTCACTCACAAAGAGGCTTCCTTTAAAGTAAACACCTGTGTGATGCAGGCAGAAGGACGACTCTGCATCACTAAGGCTACAGCTGTAATGACACTCCATCACAGGCTGGAAGGATCTCACTTCACAGCAGCCAATCATACTCAAAGAAAAGACACTCAGCATTGCAAGTAAAAACCCTTTTCATCCTCATTAATATAAAACTGCTATTTAGTTCAACATTCTCAGAAAGTATTAAAGTAAGCCATTAAAAAACTACATGAATACACCGTTTCTACTTATTTAGCAACTTTTTCTTATTTCAATTCTCTCCTTGAAATGTTCTTGCCGTTTCAGCCAATAGACCATCTTATCAGCTTTCCTCCACTACTCTACCTAAAGTGGGGGTTTAGATAATACACCCCCACATTCAGTAAGAGCCTTTTAACTGTAATATTACCTGTATTATAGAATAGTGATACATCTAAATGTTGTGTTTACTTAATCAAATGTAACCAGTAAACAGTAGGTCTGACTCAAAATTCCATCCATAATTAGCAAAAAGAATCAGTAGAGAACAATATATTTTATTTTTTTCACTACCCTTATTTTTTCCACACAAAGTCTGGTGCACCAAAGAGAATTAAGGAGCCATTTCAATTTAAAAATTGTCTATGATCTGTCAGACTATGGTTTCAACCTGCAGGAGTGCATAAGACTTCAGCTTATAACAGAAAGGTTGAAGGTGTTGCAACAAAAGGTGTAGATTGGCTGCAGATTTAGGAGAAATGCATTACAATGATTCATCCGTCTGACAAAGTAGCCTTTTAGCAGCCACATGTCTGGTTTGCAGTAAATGCATGACAAGGTGACCATGAACTCTGTTAAATATTCATTATGAGTCATATAGAGACTGTTTCACACGACCCCTGGCAGAAAAAAGAAGAAAGCAGCACAGAGAATAAAAGCATTTTTAAATCCAAACAACCAAAATAGACCCAACAATAATGTGGCAAAGATCCAAGACTAGTGCAGGTAATGACTGTTATAAGAGGAGCAATTAGAACGGGAGTCCATTAACACAAATAGTTGAACAGTCCTGTTTTATAGGACTTCTTCACATTTGTGTGAATCTGCATACTTCCCTTTGTGCTTCACTTTGCTGCTGGGAGACCTAAATCAACTCCATTGTGAACAAGATCCATGGGGGGTGGTGGCCTTTTGGTTAGAGCATTGCGCTTGTGTCAAAGAGGTTCTAATTTCAAGTCCCACACCCTCTCATGGACGCCAATCTGGGTCCCAGAGCAAGACCCTTAATCTCAGACTACTCCCGGGCGCCGCACAATGGCAGCCCACTGCTCCCCAAGGGGATGGGTTAAAGGCAGAGAGTTTATTTAATTGCTCTGCACTTGTGACAATGTAATGACAATCAAAATTAAAAAGTAAAAAGGGGATTTAAACTCTTTTTTTTTTTATAAGGGACTAACCTCCAACCTTGGGTATTCCGTGTTGGCTGCTTACGGAGTTCCAGAGGCCAGCCAGGCTCAATAGGACTCCTCATTTAGCTCAACTACATACCGTACTGTCACTTCAGTCACTTTACTTAGTCATAATAAAAGACAATAATTACTCTCAGCCCCTTGCTGTCAAATTTGGAGTAATTAGGGTGATGTTTTAAACACAGATTAAGCTGCAGAACACACTATGCTGTTAATTCTAAACAGAAAGCAGCTACAAAATAAATGGAGTTTTAAAACATTCTAGAACAATTTGTTTTTACTGTCTGAAATAGACCATGCATTTACCCAATGTTTTTATTTTATTTTTATTGCTGCATTACTACAACCACTAACAATCGGATACATGTTCATAAGCAAGGAATTTTATATTACGTAGTCTAAACATAAGGCTGGTCACCTATTTGCAAACGACAGTCAGCAGATGACAATCTGCCTTCTAGAAAGAACAGACGCCAATGAGGGATTAAATAGTACTGGACATGGGAAATAAGGTGTTTCCACTTGCTGCCAGTTCAGTGTGATTGAGAGGCAGCAGTAAAGATCATCTGGAGATGCTAACCCAACCACTAAAGGTCTGTGCTGCTGGAGCACAATTTATGATCACACATATGGAGCAGCAGCAGGAAAAAGTTAAATGGAGAGAAATTAAAAGACAACAAAACCGGAGATATCAAAAACAAGGATAAACACTTGGCAGGCCTTCTCCAGGTGGAAGGAGCTAAAAGGGAAGCTAAAGTTACTATGGCTCTGTTCGAAATCCTGGGAGTCGTCCTTAGAAGGCCAGATTCGAAGGACGATTACGTCATAGCGCGGCGCCGAGGTCTGGTCGGATTCCAAGACTCCACT